AGGATGTACTACCAGGATTACAGCTTAATCTACTGAATATTGAAATTGCATTGGGAATAATATGTGAACAGGTACTTATGTGTATTGGCATATTTATACTTGTTTCCTTGAATCACTTGTCTGTTGATCTGGGTTTGCTACACAACACCCAGCGCAGAGATTTGGACATGTGATGGTGCTGGGATGAAGAGTGGGAGGGATTGATCTAGCTGCTGTAAAGTTATTTTAGGAAGGAAGAGGTGAATTAGAGCTAGAAATTTAACCCTTGAACTTTCTGGCCACTCAATTCACCTGCAGAACCAGCCCTAGAAAGCCTCTGTCCTAGGGGATGGGATGGTTAGGAGGCTGATGGCCTGGGTTGCCCCTGGGGCAGTGCCCAGGGCCAGCGCGGCTGGCAGCCACCCTCTTCTGCCCCCCTGGCAGGACCCCTGCCAGCACTGGCTGCCTCAAAGCCCTGCGGCATCTCTTGCCTACGGCCACATCTTGCAAAGCGGGAAACAATGCCTGCGCTGCGTTAGCATCTGCAGGAACGAATAAGCACAGGTGAGAGAGCAGAGTTGTCTTCACAAGCTGGCAGAGTTCAACAAGGCCCTTCTCTGTCTTGCAGCTTATGAAAAAAAAAAACACTTAAAAGCAAGTAAATGAACTGCTAAAAGCATTCCTATCTGAGAGACATTACGTGAAGAAACTGACACCAGGAGGGCTCTGTCAGACAGAAGGTACCACAGGGCTGGGCATGGCCTTCCTCCTGCTTTCTCACCCTCACCTTATGGCACGGAGTCTACTGACAAGCAGCTTCTGGCTTGGCAATTCTCACTCAAATGGAGAACTATCCAACAAAGAGCTCATTGTACGCCAGTTCTTGGGGACTGCTGATTGAGGAGCAGGTCATCTGGGAACTGAGTAGGCTGAGGAGGGTATCTCTGATGTGAAGAGATGTCTGCACTTACAAGTTGTTCTCTCACCATTGCAACAGTAGCCTCACTGCACCTAGTGGTCCACAGGAAAAGCTTATTAGCCTTCTAGGCCACATGTTTCCTCAAACTGCGAGTTTAAATGTACAAAGAGAAAAAGAAATGAAGCAGTCAACCAGCAGAAGAGTATGAAGAAGAAAACCATAGCCAGACCAGAAATGTATCACACACTTTTTAAAAGTTAGAGGAAACATGTGGCCTAGAAGGCTAATAAGCTTTTCCTGTGGACCACCAAGTGCAGTGAGGCTATTGTTGCAATGGTACTGATGCATTGACCCAAAGATGATGGTAAATAGTATCACTGGCAGAAAGAATGATGGAAAATAAAGACTGTATTTTTTAAAAATACCTCGCCGGTGATTCCATGTAAAGGATGTAGACCCCTTCAGATAAGGTCCCCGGAAAATGCCAGCAGGAGCAATGAAAACCATCATTCATGATGACAAAATGTTTCTGCCTAGCGGGCTCCTATCACGCTTGTGCCAAGGGAACAATGCTTCCATTTCCTCTGCTGTGAAAAATGTCATGCCTCATTTCTTAATTGCTCTAGCCTGACCAACTGGCTGGGCTCTTAGACAAAATAAGAAGAGAATTCTTGTTCCAGGTACTCTTGGATATGGTCCGCACTAGCTTGGTCTGGCAGGGCTTGGCAGGGCCTGACAGTGCTCTGTGGGAGTGTTGACCAGCCAAATGCCCTGCTGACGATGCACAGGGAATGCCTGGCTTCTGTCAGGGAAGAGTGGAGGGCAAGCTCTGAGCAAAAGTGACCCTCAGAAACTGCATACATATTAGATAGCTCAGCATGAAGTTGTCCTTACACACAGAGGACAAACTGAACTGAGCCCTGCTGTTAAACAGAGGGTGTAATTGTCCCTCTTTCTGCTCATTTGTTTCCTGGATGTAAGAGTCCTGTCTTGGCTGTAGTTGTGAATTAATATAATTTTGGGAAAAGTCCTAACACTAATGACAAGAAGTCCTTCATTTGCATTTGTCTACCACAACAGTGAGAAGAAGAGAACATATTTTTCACGGCTTTGAGTATGATGGCTGGTTTTGAGCGCTGAAAACCACATAGATCCTATACAGGCAAACACATGCTGGTAGGAGCAGAAAACCTAATCCAAGGTAGTCATGATTTGAAATTTTCTTTGAATGGATGTGAGAAGCAGAGGTGAGATTTTAAGTCAAATCACTTGTTGCTACTATTTGGAAAACTGCAGGAACTTCAGAGTTGTCTTTTCTCTCTATGTAGGAAAGTGAATCTAGATTGTCATCAATGCTGTTCTCAGCAGGCTGGCTGCAGGAGGTGAATTTAGATTTCATTACATTATAATACAGTATGTATAGGAAACAGACTTATGGAGGCATGTCATGGAACCTATGCCAGGTAGAAGCTCATTAGGTGTGACATCAGGTCTTGGCAAGGGTAAGCAGTGAGTTTCTGTGAGTATCAGTGACAGACCCTTTCTTCCTTCCATGCAAGAATAAAACAGGAGACTTGTTTTCATCTTCTTTACATTGTTTCCTCATGCAGGGAAACCAGTCCAGGGTCCACTGTCACACATCTGTTGCAGTGATTACTTGCAAAGCATTCCAGTGAGTCCAGCAGTACTGTTGTATGTCTTGGCACACCACACTCCCCTGAACAGAGTCCTTGTTTGCTCCCCAGGGAGCATGATGCATGAAGTCCTCTCAGGCTGGGACCTTGCCTAGCACCCTGCTTTGTTATGGTAATGGCGCATGCTGGACACACAAGTCATTGGAAAGAGTAGCTTTGCACTTTGTTGGTGTATAGACTGTTGCCAAGACTGTCATGCTGTCTGTTCCCTTCCCTGAGAGAGGAGCAACTGTGCACTAGTTGCTTTGTCTTATGCCAGGCAGGGCAGCTGAGAAGGTAAAGTCTACTCAAGCCGGGCCTCCCGCCCGAGCAAACAGAGAGACACCTGCTTGGTTTGCCTTGTGGTGTGTCAGTTAAGAGAGGTTGTTGCCTGCTACTCTTTACATCACTGTGGCTATCACGACCCTCCTTTTAAACAGACATTTTCTTCAGCAGCTGGAGCATCCAAACGCTGCAGTCTGTCCAGCCAGCCACAGAGGCTGAGGTGCTATGTCCATGCTCACGACCTGCTTTCTGTTGGCATATTCCTGCATCTAGGGACCCATGGGAGCAGTGGTTTTTGGATTTTCAGGCTGGTTGGTTTAGCCATTTGTTGATGACACAGTGACCCTTCAACTACAGGTACTCAACTGCCAAGGGATCTTCTGTCCCTCCCCAGAGGAGACAGGCACCTTTTTACATCATGCAAGTTCAACACTTCAGGTGACTCTGCATGTTTTTTAAAAACACCATGAGTGCAGTTTGCAAGACCATCAGCCTGGGACAAGTCATTAATGCTCTAAGCTGATTAACTTGTAGCATCCACAGTATGTGCAGAGAAAGAGGGAAGCAAAGCTTTGTTTCTGGTATGCATGACCATTTAGATTACCTCTTTCCTATTGCGGACAATCAAAAGGGAAGACTGTAATTAAATTTGTTGTAATGGACATTGATATAATGTAAATAAAGTGCTTAAAGAAACACTGATTTCCTGAAAGGATGGGTTTCACACGTGAATGTGAAACCCAACTCAAAAAAGGTTTTATGTAACTTCTCCTGAATGACTGACCTTGAAAATGTACAGTCACAGCCCTAAGGCTAAAAAGTCCCCTTTACCTCCCCCGAACATTCAAATTACTGCAAGAAAATACCATCAGAAAAAGAAGGGCTGGAGCAAGATCTTTGGAGCTAAGACACCTTTGCTAAACCTGGAATTGCCTGCTGAAATTTATTTGAACTTAGCTGGAGGATTTCTCTGCTCTTTCAGCCATGAGAAGGACTGTGAGATCCTGCCACAAATGAGTGACTTTAGCTGAGAGTACTAATCTCTTCTCTCTTCCAGCTCAATGCAGTTGCAATCATTTCAAAACAGAATGGCTGCTGCCAGCATCCAGGAGCACTACAACTGGCAGGACCTGCCATTTGTACAGCACGATGCTGGGGGGCAAGACTTTCAGGGTCCTGCTTACCCCTCCAGGGAGAGCATCTGGTGCATTACACATTTTCAGAAAGACTGTGAGAGCTTTAAAAAGTTTAAATATTTGAAGCCTCCATCAAACTGGTTCGCAGCTGCACAAGGTTTTGCACATCTCTCTCTCCATTCCTTGTTCACGCCAAGACAGTGATGACATATTGGAAACCAGGCCATAACACTGACTATGGAAAGGGCAGTATGAGGAAAGGAGCGCTAACATCCTCAGCTGTTTGCTGTGTTGACAGGGTAAAGGTGGTCTAAATTGTTCTCCTGTCTTGTTTTTTCCATGTAGATGAAAGAAATTCTCCCTATATACCATGGTTTATCATACAGAATCCTCTTCATGAGGAAAAAAGGGATTTGGATTATTACATTAAAATTTTCCATGGGTCAGATCTCCAATTCCGAAAAAGCATGTTGCAGTCAAGACAATTAGAGGGCTGTGCCTCCAGATTTTGCTTTTATATGTTTCTAACTTCAACTCAGGGCAGGCTCCTTCAACTGCAGTGCATGGTAAAGACATGATGGGAGAAGAGGCCAATGCCACTATTATGTCTAATGAAAAAATTTAAGTGCAGTGATACTAGCTTTGAACGCTGCACACGGTCTTCAGTTTTTGCATCCTGCATAGCTCTGAGAGCATATCATTAATAATTTGTGGTAACACATGGCTTCTAATTTATTGAATTATTTTTTCTGTTTAAAATAAATGGAAAAAACTACATAATTCAGCTCCTTGCAGCTCATGTTGTGCCATAGATGGCTGTGCTTGTAGGAGGGTATTCACTTCTCCAAAGTGTCAAAGCATGTACTCCAGCATTTAGGGAGGAGGATGCTTAGCCAAAGACAGTCTGCTTTCATCTCTGATAGCCTGACTAAGAGGAAAAGTACGTCCCTACAGGAGAGATCAGACAAGCTGAATGGGTGCGGTAAAACAGAACAGCAAGTAACTTACCACGTCAATTATCTGCAGCAAAGAAAGCTGGAGTTCGACTACAAGGGGTTGGGAGTCATTCACTACCGGTCGCTCAAGGCGATTGTAGTTTCTCAGCAGTTCTCTGTACAAGCGTCTCTGGCTTTCACCCTGTTGAGAGACTAGCGAAAAAGAAAGAAGACATCTGTCATTTGGGCTGGTCACACTGTCCCCATTGTTTGTCTGTTTTGTTGAAAACCCTCTCTTAATAGGTTTGTAATTTGAAAGTAGTTCCCCAAAAAATCCCCAAAATTCTGCACATTGGTGTGACAGACACAGCTTTTCTGCATATATGACTGATAAGCTCTTAAAAAAAAAACAAACCCTACTAACACTAACTCATTACTAACTCAGAAGCTACTGAACAGCCTTTGGGGCTCTGAGTAAATGTCCCTCTCCCTCGGTGCCCCTTCTGCTGATAGTCAGTGGAAATGTGGCTCCAAAACCACCAGAAAGCCTCCTGGAAGGCAGTCAGAGAACTATTTGTTTGTTCTTGTTTCCTAAAGACAGCCTGCTGTAAGCCAGCACTGGTATTACTTGGACAGACTGTGTGTTTGCTCAGCATGAGTAACAGGTATCCTTATTTCCTGGAGCTGATGTATCAGGCCCTTTTTTGTGCTCAGGAAACAGTAACAAGCTTTCTTTATACCCTCCTCAGTTTTATGTGTGCTTTGGATTACTTCCCTTGCCTTTTGTCTTTCTGATGGCAGCACACTTTGTTAACACTTAGTGAGGTGGTGGTATGAAGGCTAGAGTATTTGACAGGTATGTATAAAGATACTGAATTTCTGGTGTTGCGTGCTTAACTCTGCTTCCACTGGGAACAGCCTCAGTGCAGAAGCTGTCATGCAAACACATGAGCATGTTGAAGACTAGCAGAATTTCAGTCTAAGCTTACATTGCAAAATGCTCTGTTCCCCAGCTTTGGGGTGGGGAGCATCCATCTAACCTGCATGACCGGGCTTCCTTGCCCCAACAACCATGGATAGGGCAGGGTAGCAGTGATGGCTTGGGTCTCTTCCCACAGGTAGGTGAGCACTTTGCTGGGACATACCGCCCAGGAGCTTGGGTCCTCCAAAACAGTTTAGGCATTGGTGCTCTGGCAGCCTGAGCTCTACGTAAGAGCTGCATCTACAACAGTGAGGGTCATTGGCTACAGGTTCCCTGAGGCCAAACCAGTCCTGTCAGCATGACTGCATATTCCCTGAGCTGTAGAAATCCAATCCCTGGCAGGGAATCTGCACTCTATACTATTATTACTTTGGACTGGAGCATTTTTTATCCATTGCAGCTCCCATTCTCTGTGTGTGACTTCTTTTAACTCTTGAGCAGAGCTCTGCACATTGAGACCAAGACTCCTCTCACAGTGGTTATGATGAATATCTTTTTGACAAATAAATCATAACAACCAGTTCTGCCTTCCCCAGACTCTTACTGTGCTCAGAAAACCTTGCAAGCCTGGAACAAGATGCTCTCCTACACAGCAACCATGCTTGTTAAAGCTAACAATAAATTTAGTTTTTAAATAGTTTATAAGTCTGTTTAATTGATGTTCTCTTCAGTTTTCCTGACACTAAAGGGAGCTCTGTGGCTTTCCAGTCATAGTATGATCATGGGGATCCAGAGGAGCACATGCTGTAAGCGCTGCTCCAGTAGCCCTTGCTGACACATCAGTATTGGATGTTGTTTCACCATCAGCAAAGACAAGCTCTGGCCACAGTACTTCTCCTTCACAAGCTTAAGTAAGCTTCTCTGCAAGGCAGTGATTTAGGTCCTCTGTTACGGCCTTAGTACTTGCTTGCCAGTGCCTCAGCAGACCCTGACTCCCTTTTAAAACCTTTCTGTGGAAAGAAAACCAATCAATATTACTACACATTGTTCTACAGAAAAAGGCTCTGTGTTTTGAACAAATTTGCAGTTCTTTCACTCAGCTGCCCCACCACCCCACCACATTCCTGTGCTTTAGGGAAGAAATGACTGCTTGCACTACTGCTTTCACCTTGACTATTTATGTAATATTTGCCTTTAACCTTCCTTTTAAACTGGTTGTCTTAGCTTTTACAAAGGAAAAGTGCCTTTCACCAGCCCCTGGAAGTCGGCTGGGCTGCTAGAGTGCCTTGGTACCATTGCTGTCATGGTGCATTAAAGCAGTCCCTCCAAGGGAGGTCTAACTTGGAGAGATTTGAGCACAATGCTTTGCTGTGTGCTTTGGAAAGCTGTCTTTGTATTGTGTGCTCCAACTACGCTGAACCAGGCCCCTTTTCCTGTTAAACTTTGTGAGCTGAAGTAGCCCAGCACTGCAATTTTGCACCTGGTTTTCCATCCTTTCTTCAATCCCCTCTCTGTAATGTGATCCTATTAGTTTGTGACCTCCTGTATCCAAAATCGTTAATGTAGCCGTAGCTGATCTATTTGTAGCCTGCTGAGTTGGCATTGGTGACCACATGTTTGTTTTGCTTACCAAATGACACAGGTTCAGAAGCAGTGAAGCATTTGGGGTGTCCTGGCAAACAGTCGTGCTAGCTGTTGGTACCACAAAGACCTGGTTAGTCTAATCACACTGCTCTCTCTCTGCTACAGCTGCTTTGCAGAAGGAACTGAGGCGGGTGACAAGTTAGACTTGCATTTTCATAGACTTTTTCTTTAAATTGTAATCTTCAAATACTTAATGTTTTATACTCCAGAGAGATTTCTGCTTTTTTCCCCTCTAATGCTTGTGCTAATGCATTGTGACACTACATCTCCATGTGCTAAATGGAGTGTTTGCTGGTGATGGGGAAGTCTGGATCTCTGAGGAGTTGTGGTAGAATAAGCTTTATCATTGCCTACCCTTCAGTCACAGAAATCTAACCAAAAGCAGTGGCACTGTTTTATCTTTTAAACTAGGCTGGAAACTGGACGTCAATATTTAAGGTTGCCAGGTCAGTCTCCCATGTATAATGTTTATGTCAAGTTTAGCAAGACTTTTGACACCATATCTGAGAACATCCTCATAGAGATTTGTCTATGCCTTCCAGGCTAGATAAGTGAACAGTGAGGTAGGTTGAAAAGTGGCTGATCTGGCAGGCTCATCAGCAGGACAAAGTCTAGCTGAAGGCCAGACAGTGGTAGAATACTCCACAGGTAGATATTGGGGCCAATGATGGGCCAGAGTGCACCCTCAGGAAGTTTTCAGATGATACAAAACTGGGAGGAGTCAATGATACAGCACATGGTTTTGCAGCCATTCAGAGGGACCTCAAAAAACTGGAGAAATGGCTGACAGGAACCTCATGAAGTCCAATGAAAGGAAGTACAAAGTCCTGCACCTGAGGAGGAGTAACCTCAGGCACCAGGATAGGCTGGGGGTCCACTGGCTGCAGAGAACATTGGCAGAAAAGCCTTGGGGGTCCCTATAGATACCAAGTTGATCATAAGCCAGCAATGCACCCTTGCAGCAAAGGCCACCAGCATCCTGAGCTGCATCAGGCAGAGCCTCACCAGTGGGTCAAGAGAGGTGATCTTTCCTCTCTACTCAGCACTGTTGAGACATACCTGGACTGCTGGGTCCAGTTCTGGGCTCCTCATAACAAAGAAGACTCGGAGTTAGCAGACCAAGGATGAGATTGTCCCTTAAGCTTTACTTTCTGAACAATCTGAAGTGGTTCCCTAAACTGCTTCTAGAGTTTGCAGGCAATTGGGAGGCACAGGGCAACCAATCCTCTGGTGGTTTCGTGAAGAGCTCTATGGACAACAGAGGTATCTATGGACCATAGTCAACTCTTAAGTACTCTCTGAATCTGCTCCTATGCTTCTGCATGTGCAAAGAAGTCTGCAAGAAGCCCACTGATTTATCAATATGACCTATAAACTGATATCAGTCTTGGGAATACACGCTATACTTGAATTTCATCTTTCTTTCTACGATGGAATTGCTGAGAATTGCACAGCAAGGTAACCCGCCTAGGAGCTATTTCTCTATTGCAGAATGCTACCACCTCCTCTAACAAGAGATACAAGAAAATGTAGTTTCCCAAATGAATTGCTGTGAGACTAGGGAACTCCTTAGGTAGGGTGGCACTGTGTGGTATCCTCTGTGCTCGATCGGGGAGTCCTATGATGTGAAGGAAGAACATGGACAAAGAAAACAGAAGATGGCAGCTTCCCTACGGTCTTGTTTCTGAAACGTATCTGAAAAGCTGTCCTTTGCCTCCTTTGTTCCCCTACAACATCCTTGCATTGCATTATT